TAGGATTACTTGATCCAAAATTATGAGGTAGTCCAATTATTTTATTTTTCCTACTGATGTTGCTCCAGAAATTTTTGCATTATCACTCTCTCCCTTCACAGGGGTATATCCCTCATCTCCTTATGAGAGGAACATATACATTGGAGGAATTAGGGACATTAGAAAAGCAAGAACCTCAGTGAGGAAAAGACAGGGATTATTAAAAAAAAAAAAGGTGATTAATAATATTGCAGAGTCAAAGGTGAGGGATTTAGTAAGGTACCACCTATAAATGTCATTTGTTGCCTAAAACTTAAATCTAGTGGGTACTTTTTTATGTTGCCATTGATAAGTATTCTTTAATGTTTTATAGCCAGAACATCTGTTGAACACAGGTGACAATGTCACAGTGCAGTGTCACACACCGAGAGTCATCATTCAGACTGTTGCCACCGAAGACATCACTTCTTCCATATCCCAAGCAGAACTGACAGTAGACAGTGATATTCAATCAGCTGATTTTCCTGAGCCTCCGGATGCCCTGGAAGCAGACACTTTCCCAGAAGAAATCCATCAGCCTAAGATGACTGTAGAGCCATCATTTAATGATGTGCATGTATCCAAACTCAGTGACCAAAACAGCAGAGAACTGATGAATAGGGTTTTGGTCAGAACAGAAGAAATCTCTGACACTGACCTTAAACAAGAGGAAGAATCACCATCTGAGTTAGCCAGTGCTTATGTTACTGAGGTAAGTTGTACTTAAAGGACCTTGTGCCCTAATAGGTTCCTGTCTTGAGCCTCAAGTCCGTAGTATAGAAAGAAGCTTAGAAATAATTGAGGTGGGGATATCTGTTTTAGACCCACAGAATAAAGTGCCAAACCTCTGTCTCACACTTCACAAATACCAGGCATTCAGCAGTTTTGTTGCTAACAGACATGGGCATGCAAAGACATCTGTAACAGGAAGAATAAAAGTTAAATAAATCTTCGTGATTTGGCTTAGGAACTTCACCCTACAGTGTAACAGCACTGTTTATCCTTGTGACCTATAAGTGAATTGGGTTTTTAAAGTTTCTTTTTGCTAATGTTTGGTAAATTAGGTGATACAGTTATTAATATTACCTTCGTCCATTTTTTATGGCCTTAACTTTCATTTCTTTGAATTCTAATTTAAAAACAGAATAATGTTTGGGATTTAAATCATACTAAATCTACAAGTGCTTGGGATGTATGAGTCAGAATTTTTTTTTTAAACCTAGGATTTAGCGTCTCCTACTATAGAAGAACAAGTTGATCAAACGACAATTGATGATGAAACGATACTAATTGTACCTTCACCACATGGCTTTATCCAGGCATCTGATATTATAGATTCTGTCTTGCCTTTGACAACACTAACAGGTACTGTAGCACAAACCTATCATATGCCTGATAAATCTTGAGAGAAAAACCTGGCAGACAGACATTTAATTCAGCTGTGTTAGTCTTTCTTGATCCAGTAATGAAGATACTAGGTCTTGTTAGATAAATCCTACACTGTAGTATAAGAGGGCTTAATCTCAATTCTTGACATAAGGTATGCATATATACATTTAAGACTAACTTGTACTTTAACTTACTATAGATCCCATACTCCAGCATCATCGAGAAGAGTCCAATATCATTGGATCATCTTTGTGCAGTCCTGTTTCAGAAGACTCAAAGGATGTTGAGGACTTGGTAAACTGCCATTAGGCAATTCTTAGAAACAGGGTAGTTTAAGCAAAGAAGCCACACTGTTGATTGCAACATCTCGAAAGAAATAGGAGCAACCCCAGCAGGCTTAATTTACCATTCCTTTCGCTTTTGTCTATAGTTCTTAAACCATGGACATTGTTGCTGCTATGACTTTTTACCTCCTTTAAGTTTATCATCTGAGGGCCAGTTATATAACTGTGTAGTTTTTAAGTACTGGAGGTTTTAATTGCATAGATCTCTATGTTTTTAGTGTTATTTGTCAGTGGGGAATTTGATTCACTTCAGCTACTGCAAAAAGTTTAAAATCACCAAAGCTTAATTACTCTGGCTTAAAAGCAGTAGTTGTGATCTATAAAGATCAGACGTGGCTCTTCTTCAGTCTCAAGTAGGCTTGGTTGTACTCCAGAGAAGTCACATCAACATGGTCTAGAGCTTACTGGTCAAACAAGATGAGGTATCATTAGTTTAAGACTTGACCAGCATACAGAGACTTTAGAAGTGTCTGTGTGGCAGTTCCTATGGGTTGTTCATTGCTGGCAATAGGAGCTGATTTAGGCAGGATAAAGAGGAAAGCATTAAAAAAGGTTATGAAAAGTCACTACAGAATTTCTACAATTACTTTTAAAGGGAATATAAATGAGTATAGTAACAAAACCCACCAGAGGCTAAATAGAGACCCCTCAGAAACCTTGGTCATCAGTTTACAAAGTTAGCACTTTCAAGTAAAATTAAATGAGGAAGGTAGTAAGGTTCCCTTGATACCAGACTGTTTATTACATATGTTGTATACCAGACTGTTTATTACATATGTTGTTACATAAAGTACCCAGAAATGAGTTGGAGGTGGGGGATTAGTATTCCATTCATTAAGTGCAAAGTGCATTAGCTGGTGGGGTACAATATAACTTCTCCTTCTCAGGCAATTTAAAACAAAATAGAACAAAAAGTTGGCATCATCTATAATGAAAGGAAATAAATCAGTAGTCATTCCTATACTAGAGAAGTTTAGCCAAAACGAGCCTCTATAGGCCTCTATAGAAAAGTCACAAAAAAATCTTGTATAAATTATTTTATTTATTATTGTAATTAGATATTGTAATTAGATCTTCACAATCAAAGTTGTCTTTTCACCATCTGTGTTTTGTTAATGTGAAAATTGTAGTTATAAGCAAAAGTTGGTTGCATAGGGAACAATAATTGTATATTCAGTTTAACAGAAATAAAAGAGTATTTGTCTTAAAAAGCAAGATTGTGTTTGTTAACATAGCCTTTTGCCATGCAATTACAATATAAAAAATTTTAATTGTAAAAGTGAAAATTACTTGTGCTGTTTGAACTTTTAAGAGTTGGAATGTTTGTTCAAGCTTCTTAAAGAAAAAGCAAAGTGATCTATGGTATGTCTCTCCTGGAAGAGAGAATTTAAATTTACAATCAACATGAAAATCATGTACCAGACTCCTACAGGAGATTCTTCAGCATACCTTTTTGAGCTCTATGTACAGTCCTAATACATAGCTTTGAAGAGTCCTGGTAAGTATTGGTCCTTTGTAGCCTCACTTTCCCACATCGTGGAAGTACAGGTTTGCACATATACATAACATGATGATAGAAAATAAGATATAGTAAATTAGATTTCTAAATTTTGGTTCTAAGTCTCCTTGTCGATACCAGTAGATCTGAAAGAAGAATTAAATAAAAATTTAAATATAGCCACTGAGCCAAGTATTAAAATTTTAAATGCAATTAACTTTTTTCTATTGTGACCAATTCCATCAGTATATATCTGCTATTCACTTATGGACTGTCTCATTGTCCTACATGTCACATTTAGCACACGAATGAAAAATCTGATTTTTGTGCATTAACAATGTACAAAAATGCCAAGGTGTGTAGCAAAAGTAATACTGGCTATGATGGTTAAGGTTATGTGTTAACTTGGCTAGGTCATCAATCTCAGTGGTTTGGCAGTTACATAATGATGTAGTCATCCTCTATTTTCATGTAATGTCAATGCTGCATGACCACCTGGTCTCTGGAACTATGTCTATGAATGAAGAGTAGGTATATACTTTCTCCTCTAAATAAGGTAGTCTTAATATTAATTTATATTCTTAAGACTAATGTGGCCAGAATTTAATCATTTAAATAGTACCAATGAGTTTCCACATCCAGGATTGTACTTACTTGTGGCTTCTCAGTTTACTTTTCTGTGTTCATATCTATATAGTATCTGTTCACTAACCAGGAATATATATATACCTTGTGGATATTTTTCAAATAATTTAAGTAAAAAGGTACAACTTTCAGGTACTGGAAAGGACAATTTTTACAATGTTTAAATTCATATAATTAGATTGCCAGTACAAAACAGGGCTTATATGATGCATATAGGTTTAAAACTAGCTCATTGTTAGTCACTTTAGGCTATGGGTGGGATGAAAGGAGGAAAGCATCTCTGCCCTTCAGCTTTATTCCAAAGGTTCCCAAAGTGAGATGGGCCAACTTTTCCCTCAGGCCCTACTAGTTTGGCAAATCAGTAAATTAGAACAAGTGGATATATCCCCTAGTTTAATTTTAATTTAGCTAATAAGCACATTTATCTGTAGATCAAAAGGGTTTATTGTTTTATTCTGCCTCTCAAGGGAAACACAACACTGCAAATACCCAGCTAAGAATCGACCACTGTTCTTTGGGAGGGGCCTCTTTGTATGATTAAAATTGAACATTCTTGTGACAAGATACAACTGTAGCTTTAGGCTTCCTAGGACGTTTGGTGTTCATTACCTCTGTCTTGGGAAGTAAGCCCAGAGACTAAAATAAGCTAATTTTATAACTATTAGAAAATACATCCAGAGCGTGCATCTACATTTCCAAAGGCGTATGGTCCCCTGTATATAGTCACTGAAAGAGACAGAATTTAAGTTTAAATTATATCAAGTCTTTGATCACCTGAAGTCTTTCAACTACTTTTTTTTAGCCATCAAGGGAAATTTCTCCTTAGGGTTACAACTTTACGATTTTGGAGAAAATTAAGAAGTTGAAACCTTTGAGGGACTGGTAATTAGAGATAACTTCCTTTATGCAGACCCAGGGTTGGGTATCTCTGTCTTAAGCACATACAACTGTAAGTCCTATAGGATATTCTTTACTTAAGTTCTACATAGTAGTACTCACAAGTATGCAGGCAGTAATACTGCTCAAAGAGATGCAGACCGCAAAAAATATATTCAGTGGTTTTGGAGGTGGTTGAGGGAAAACAAAAGCACTGATCAGCGTTACCTGCATGAAGAGAAATAATGTAAACCCTTACAGGCAATTGCAAGGCATGGTTTCATTAGAGTACAGGCAATGTAATCATATAAAATGCTTCACACTGTAAAATTATATCTAACACAAGGTTTGCTTCTAGAATGATAATAACACTCGTAAAAATGTTTGAATATTTCCTTTAGTACATCCTCCCTTTCCAAGCTTTCCTTCATTTGTGGAAGGAGACAAAATACACAACAGCAATACTACCATATCTTCACTGGCAAAGATTAGAAATCATTTACCTCTTCCCCAGGATTAATGTTTACACTGGGAAAAATTGTATTTTGTCACTTTGAACAGTACCAAAAACCAATAAAACCAAAGCTGATTTTGTATAACATTATGAAAAATATTGAAAGGTAGGTTTCTATTTCAACCATACATAATACCTATTTATTTAAAAAACCATGGAAACAAGATGTAAAAATTCTCTTAACAAAGTTACGAAAATGTGCCAAAGAAATGTGATTATGAGAATATCGGAAATACAGTTTTTGTTGTGATAGCATCCATCTGTATTATTAATGATGAAATATTACTGCATACTTACCATAATCTTTTAAAACTAAGCCAAAGATAATTAGTTTTCTTTAGGAACAAAATTAAGGCATTAGCAGAAATGATAAAGGCTAGATGGAGGGAGTTGAATTGTGACAGAAGGGAGTTGCTGGTAGCCATTGATAGTTTAACAAACGCACTAGGAAAGCACATGTGGCCAACTCAGTCATCTGAAAGCCAAGTTACTTGACTTGTGCTATTTTATTTATTCTGCTGATGGAGAGATGTAATGTAAGAATTAAATGAGCTTCTCCAATTGCAGTTTCAAGTGGTAATAAAAATGGAAGCACTGATTTAACTACAGAACACTAAACGTACTCACTGCTGGCCCCTTTAAGTTTGGTTTTGGTTTTTGTTCTCTTTTAATTACCTGAATCACAATATTGAAGTTTTGAAAACTTTGGCCAAGAGTCTAGGGGATGCACAAAATAAAGATACTTACTAAAAGCAATAAGGAAGTTAAGCTGCCAACAACTAAATTGATGATCCGATCCTGAAAGAAAAAAGAATTTTTGAGCCATCTGAGTTGTATCCATGGTACAATGCTAGGCACTGGGGTGACTTAGGTTAGAAGAAATCGACATCTTGAGCTTTACACATAAAAATGCCAGTAAAGGCAAAGGCGCAGTGAGCCAGAGTGGTAAAGGTACTTTGAGAAGACAGGGGCAAACAGGGAAACCTTAAAGATACAGTACATTTACACTAGCGTCTTGAAGATTGGGTAAAATTTGAATGGGGAAGGGAGGCTTACAAATACTGTCCTACTGGGAATAGCAGCACAGGAGACAAAGGCTGGGGCAAGCCATGCCAGAACCTTGGTAGAAGTTACCAGGAATCAGACTAGATTAAATTAAGCAATGAGAATTTTGGACCTGTTGTGTGTGATGTGGAGCTCTGGTGGTAAGTGCCTAAGACGAGTGACTGCTAACCAGAAGGTTGACAGTTCAAACCCACCAGCTGCTCCACAGAAGGATGATGGGGCAATCCACTTTCATAAAGATTTACCACCTTGGAAACCCAATGTGGGGTGGGGGGGAGGTCACTGTGAGCCGGAATTGACTCAATGGCAGCAAGTTTGAGGCTTTTTTTTTAAAGTTATGTGTGATGCAGCTTAGGTGTCCTTGTTTTATGCAATCTAAAAGTAGATCCTACTGCCAGATGGGATCATAGAATGCCATGGCTGAAAGCACTCTCAAAGACCATCAAGTCCAGTGATTTTCCAAATTATTTAACAGCAAAAGCCCAATACAAAAATAAGTAGAATTATTTTATTGCATGGGAGCAAACACCCATTGTTTTCTTTCTTTTTTATTTTATTTTATTTT